TATATATATAGTTTAATTGTTAAAAACAACTCTGCTGCTTTGTAATTTTTATCACATGTTAAACAGGATTAAACGGTGCATTTGTTGGGGACTGTTTTTAGCGGTGGGTGAATCAGCATTTGGTTTGTAGTGAGTATTGGCAGCAGCAGGACGTTGTGCGTGCGTGTGCGCGTGACTGAGTCAGAAGAAACTCCAGTGTGTGTTCATGGTGACAAAGGAGACGGTGGTCACTGATGGGGTTAATGGTGTCTGGACACACTGGAGCTCTGTGGCTCAGATCACACACTGGACTGTGACTGGAGGATACGTAATGTTGGGTTTGGTTATTTCATAGAGACTGGGTTACTTAAAAAAAATAAAATAAAATAGTTATTTTATTTGATCCTCAGCCAGTTTTGTTTTTATGTTGTTCAGCACTACAGTGTGTAACACCGTACACAAGTTTAGCTAAACAAGGCGTCCCCTCGGGGCTCAGATAGAAGGCAGCACTCTTCATTCTGTGATTTGTGACAGTTTTGTTCATTTATTCGAGTGCAAATTTTACTCTTTGCTTTTTTTGTTTTGTTTTTAGGATTCCCAATAAAGTCCTGAAGCCAGACAACTGGGTGAAGGGGAGCCAGGAGCCTTGGAGACCCCAGCTGGGCTTCAACCCAAACAGACAACAGGCTCACCTGGACCAGTCCGGCTTCAGAGCTCTGGGGTATGTTTATCTATTACTGTTTATTGGAGCAGCCTTTAGAACACGGTCAAATCATGATGAAGCTCTGCTGCTATAAAATGTCATAAAAGATTCTTAATTTGTAATGTTTCTCGGACGTATGATGTATTTGGAAGGACCAGAAAAGTATTTTCTCTAAAACATGAAAATGACAAACAAAATGAAAGTTTCTCACTAACTTACACAAACAATAGATTAGCTTACAGTAAAATTCCAAATGAATGCAGGTAGATGGTGTATATGCCTTTATATGAACTGTAGTTTTAGCAGAGTCTAAAATGTTTGTGCCTGAAAAGAAAAAGTACCTTGAATATTACAAAGATGTCCACAAAAAGCACTTTGTCACCAACATCACCTAGGATATCACCTTTATGACATGACCTTAAGTCCTGAAGGTTTTATTTAAGTAATAGTTTGTTACACTTCATAAAAAAATGTCAAACACCAACGCACCTCTTCCTAGAACATCGTACATTGTGTGATATAATTTTGTGGTGAGCAGTGTGGAACAATGGCTGCTGATTCTGCAGTGGCTCAGCGTTCAGACTCGGGAGAAGGGCACAGTGTTTTAAAATGAAAAATGTTTGGATCCCCCCTAACGCTCCCCATTAACCAGCCATCCTTGATTATGATCTAAGCTCTCTCCTCCACACATTGATATTATCATTAAGGAAATGTGAGTAATTGGACATCTGGCTCGGTCCGACTGTAGCATGTTTGGGAATTAATTATGCACGGATTTGAAGAAAACACGGCGTATTCCTTTTTTTCTTTTTCCCTGCTAAACTAAGTTGTTAATTCAGTAATTCAAGCAGTTTTGTGCCTTGATGGGGCCAAACAGGCAGCTGCTGCACAGGCGACGGTGGGGAGGAAAACATGGAGACAACAGTGAAGAAAAGGATTTCAGTTATTGTTGTTGCAAATGGGGTCTATTTGGAGGGCCGGTAGTGAACTCAGTAACAAGTCATCCAGTCAGGGCTGTGCAGAGTCTGAACAGAAAGAAGTTTGGATGATCTTATTTAAACTCCTGAATCAGTGAGTGGAGACACAACCAGCAGGGTCACTGATCAATCAGCTGATCATCGTCCTGATGATCTGATTGATCTGTTTATCCCCAGAATGTCAGACACTGGGGAAAAAGTCCCACTGTGACTCTCCAGAGCCAAAGGTGGCGTCTTCATGTCTTGTTGTGTCCAACCAACAGACCCACAGAGACTCAGCTGATTCTCATGTCTGACAAAGAAAAGCATCAGCTCCTCACATTAAAGAAGGTGGAACCAGAACATGTCGGTGACTGTTGCTTCTAAATAGCTGAGGTTCATTTTCTACCAGTGAACTGACTCATGGCTGCAGCTCTAGGTCACTGAATGGCTTCATGAGGACGACATGGGGGGATCTGGTTTGGAAGGAGGAGGTTTCCTCCTCCGACAGAGGAGACCTGACACTGCTCTGGACACTTTGGATGTTCTCATGTAAAATATTTGGAACAGTTTTTGATTTTTATCTAATCTCCTATCCTGATTATGGAAACCAGGTTTCTTATTTACACCGTGTAACCCAGTTAAATGCATGTGAATGTGCTGAGTGATGTTGTTCATTTCCAGTGACCTTCAGCACACAACCAAGCAAGGGGAAACGCTGGCTACCTGGAATGTCCTTGGGTTGTATAATGGTTGCCTTGGATGATGAACTTGTGCTGAAAATGTAAAAAGGCTGTGTTGAGAGGATGGGTTGTTGTGAATTAGATTTTACAGTGCCACTTCTTCTCTTCCTACAGTCACAGTCTGAACAGAAACCAGCAGGGTGGACAGTACAGCAACGCCCCCCCACCGAGCAGCTACCAGCCAGGAAACTATCATCGTCCTCGCGGCAGCAGCCACCAGTCTTTCCAGCGTAAGAAACGCATACACAACCTGAGAAGTGTCGGCTAACCTGTGGTTTATCTCTACTACAGATTAACATAGGAACAAGTTCACTGCATCATTTTAGTGATTTGTGTTCTAAATTATGATGTAAATCAGGTCTGATCATAAATAAGGGAGGGCAACATTTCTGTATAAAGGTGAAGACAGAAGGTCTCAACTTACAGCAGTTGACAGAAGTCCCCACACTTTGGTGTGATACGGTTGATACAGGATGACAAGGAGCTAATATCTCTTACAATTAAACTCCTGGCATTTACACACAGAATTTCAACAAAGAAAATAATATTGCAGATATGGTTTAAAGTAAAAGTATCTGTTCCACTCGGGGCATTTAAGTAAGCTCAGAAATGGCAGCACTGCAGCATCTATCAGTTCAAAGAGCCACAGTTCTAGACAATAGATAAGAATTTCTGTACTGGCTAAAGTTAAATACTAGGTGTGTTTTCACTGCTCAACCCAGGAGCCAAACTCAAACGCTCCCTGGGGTAAAAGTCCCTCATGGTGATTTGGATTTCCTCAGCAGTCCGCAGCGGCGTTTTTAAGAATGCCCGGAGTAAAATGCTGTAAAGTTCAGCACTGCAGGCCTCACCCTTCAGAGAGCACACAGTCCCCAGTTCCTCTGCTGGAAATACCAATAGAGGAACTGAGCTCTGCTGAGAGTTCCTGTCTCCATTGTGTCATGCCAGTTGGAGTTGTATCCTCCCAGCCTTAACTTTTCATTTATATCACATCAATAATTTATGGGTATAAGTGGAATATTCTTCCAATATTTTGATCAAATAGCTCAGTAAAAGTACGGTGTGGCAAGTTCAGAGGTCTTCAGCTTTTAATGCGTCAGACTTGTTTAATCAGCATTTAGGTAACTATAAATATCTGCTCTGAGTCTGAATCGGCTGATGGCAGATATTAAAGGACACTAATTGACCCTATCAACTTGATAGTCGTGTTCTTGTCTCTTATTTGAATACTGAATATGCCTGGTTATTACGAACAGTATCTGAAATGTAAAAGAACAGAAGAATCCTCAAGTTAATGTAATACTGACATTCTTAAATAATCAGTTATTCAAAGTAGAAAATGTCCAAAGGAAGTAAAAAGATAAACACCCAAAGATGAGCGCTTCACATTGCTTGTTTTGCTCGATCAACAGTGCAAAACCCAAAGATAGTAAGTTTACAGTGAGGTAAAAGGATCAAATCCTCCCAGGGGAAGAGTGGACACTAGAGACGCTCCCTCTTTTTCTAAGACAAACAATTGTTTTATAATTTTAAAAAAAAAAAAAAAACTCCATTC